GATGAGTGGCGCTGCCCAATCAACTCGCCCCTCGGGGCAAAATTTACAAATTTAAAAATTTCCTTGAAAAACTCCACGAAAATGACCTAGTGTTGTTTATAATTGCCAATATGTCCGTACCGTACCTCCAGACCATTCCCCCTCCCCCCTTGCAAATTTGAGTGAGGCTAGCCCAGAACGTCTGGCCTTCAACTTTTAGACAGACAAACATTTTCTCCTATAGTATAGATCTGCTGGCAAGTGTAGTGTACATAAGAGTCGTGGGCCGCATATGTTATGTTAGGAGAGGAAACTTTCAATTAACGGTTTACATGACGTTGTTAAACCTTAGGAGAACTTCCTGTCTTCCTAACCTACCAGAGGACCCTTGACTTGCTGTGTTGGATAAAATAAATCCAAAATTTATTTTCAATTATTTTTCATTTTGAAATTGCGTCCATTTTCGCCCATACGGCAAACGGCCAAATTCAGACGAAATTTGTAAGAGGACAAGTCTGTGTGCCTGTGGGCAGCCTGTGTATGTGTATGTGTGCCTGTGGGCAGCCTGTGTGGCGTGTGTGTGTGCCTGTGGGCAGCCTGTGTGGCGTGTGTGTGTGCCTGTGGGCAGCCTGTGTGGCGTGTGTGTGTGCCTGTGGGCAGCCTGTGTATGTGTATGTGTGCCTGTGGGCAGCCTGTGTGGCGTGTGTGTGTGCCTGTGGGCAGCCTGTGTATGTGTGCCTGTGGGCAGCCTGTGTGGCGTGTGTGTGTGCCTGTGGGCAGCCTGTGTATGTGTATGTGTGCCTGTGGGCAGCCTGTGTGGCGTGTGTGTGTGTGCCTGTGGGCAGCCTGTGTATGTGTGCCTGTGGGCAGCCTGTGTGGCGTGTGTGTGTGCCTGTGGGCAGCCTGTGTGGCGTGTGTGTGTGCCTGTGGGCAGCCTGTGTATGTGTGCCTGTGGGCAGCCTGTGTGGCGTGTGTGTGTGCCTGTGGGCAGCCTGTGTATGTGTGCCTGTGGGCAGCCTGTGTGGCGTGTGTGTGTGCCTGTGGGCAGCCTGTGTGGCGTGTGTGTGTGCCTGTGGGCAGCCTGTGTGGCGTGTGTGTGCCTGTGGGCTGCCTGTGGGCAGCCTGTGTGGCGTGTGTGTGTGCCTGTGGGCAGCCTGTGTATGTGTGCCTGTGGGCAGCCTGTGCGGCGTGTGTGTGTGCCTGTGGGCAGCCTGTGTGGCGTGTGTGTGTGCCTGTGGGCAGCCTGTGTGGCGTGTCTGTGTGCCTGTGGGCAGCCTGTGTATGTGTATGTGTGCCTGTGGGCAGCCTGTGTATGTGTGCCTGTGGGCAGCCTGTGTGGCGTGTGTGTGTGCCTGTGGGCAGCCTGTGTATGTGTATGTGTGCCTGTGGGCAGCCTGTGTGGCGTGTGTGCGCCTGTGGGGGCAACTTGTGTTTGCCAATATCTATAGTACTATAATGCAGTCAGGCGTGGCAAATGTCGAGTTGTGTGTCAAGGTTTGTTGATGTTAATATGGCGTGTCCGGCATGGCGGTGGTGTCCGGTATTGTGAAAGTGACATATGTAACATGGCAGTTGACATGAGGGGAAGTGTAAGGTGAGGACGCTGGACCAACAGGAGCCGGAAACACCAGCGGTACCTGGACGAGATGGGGCTACTGGAGTCGCCGCCCGCCCCCGCCACCTCAGCCCCCGCCCCCAGCACCGACCCCGCGCCCATCACGCCCGCAGTTATCTTCGTCGGTTGGTAGTGTTTATTGGACTATGTGATTTGAATATTGGGGAGGGGAGGGTAGAGTGCTGGCGTTAGGTCACTTGGTTATGGCTGTTTCTCTCCCCACACCTGTATGGGAGTGATTCATCATTATACCTGTATGAGAGAGATTCATCATTGCACCTGTATGAGGATCATTACACCTGCAGTAGATTCATCATTACACCTGTATGAGGTTCATCATTACACTTGTATGGGAGATTCATCATTACACCTGTATGAGAGATTCATCATTACACCTGTATGGGAGATTCATCATTACATCTGTATGGGAGATTCATACAGATTTACTTGCATAGTTCCAAGAGGCTTTGGGTATCTTTAAGTAATGCTTACAGACCCCCAGGATATATTTACATGTTTTTAGATTTAGCGACTCAGAACGAAATGTTCATGTAGCACGGGCTATGGTGAGCCCGTAATATACACTCGTAATATATATATATATATTTCCATATTTTACTGACCCTTATACTTGGCTCAGGAAGATATGGGAGTGAGTGTTGAGTCTTCGGAATCTTTTTTCCCAATCACCATTCAGCATACAGTACTCTTATATACCACGCTGGAACTCCGCACTGTGATGTACTTGCGTCCAATTCTTCTCGGTATACAATTCTGCCTTTTCCTTTGAATGATGATAGCTACTTTTTGTAAACACAAAGCGCACCATGTGAATGTGTGCCCGTCTATACCTAATCGAATATCCAAACAGAGAGCTGTGCTTAAAATACATCTATTCAATGAATCTATGTAACTTTCTTTCCCTTTGTAATCTGATTGCAACCCATTTTCCACAAAATTATAATACATTTAGCGACTGTGAGATATATGTACAAAAGGCGGATTGGTGCACCAAAATAGACCTCATTTTATACTATGGAGCGTCCGAGAAGGAAGTTAACTAAACCTGACCTCTCCTAGACCTAATACAGACAATCTTGGGCCTAATATATGATATAAATTAGTAAGTAAAGCTATTGCAAACCACAATAAATGTGGAAATAACATTTCATTCACTTGGATCTCGAACCCAAGACTACAAAAGCAGAAGACTCCATTTCTACCAACTAGGCTACGTACACCTACAATAAGAATGGATCCCAGAGACGTGCAGTTGGTATCCACCTGGGACTTTAGGCCTTCACTGGGGTGCCAATTGAGTCTGGACATATTATATCCACGTCTCAATCATATAAAACACAATAAACGTAGAAATAACAAGTGAATGAACTATTATTTCTATGTTCATTGTTTGAAATTTATATGGGCGGGAGGGGAGGAGGGAGGACAAAGATGGAATAAGACACCTTTACAGTGGTTACAGTCCTTAATAATACATTTTTTGAGAAAAGGGAAAGAGAGGGGGGGAAGGGAGACCAAGAGGATGGGGGAGAGTGGGAAGCTGGGGGAGGGGGAGGAAAGGCAAAGGGGGGAAGGGCGGAACCACGTGGATAGGGACACTCTGGTCAGGGGCAAGATTCCCGGGAGAAGAGGGGTGGGAAGATATATATAAATAGGGGGATAGTCTAATTATATATATATATATATATATATATATATATATATATATATATATATATATATATATATATATATATATATATATGTAATATACTGAAAACTCACACCCCAGAAGTAACTCAAACCCATACTGCCAGAAGCACTAGCAACTGGTGTACAGGACACCTTAACCACTCGACCATCACCACTGGAGAAAAGATGAAGGCAGCCGAGGCTATTTCCCCATCATCCCACAGGCACTCTGCCGGCTGCCATCATCTTTTGTCCGGTCGTGAAGGTAGGGAAAAAAACGTGAGAAAATCCCTCACTATCTCATTGCCTGGAGAGGATTGGAGTTCTGGTTGGTTAAATACCCCAGAATTCCTACCTCTTTAGGGCTCTGAAGTATGGTGTAGTGGATACAGTGCGTAACTGCCACTTTGATGGCCAGTATTCAAGACCCCTGGTGGGTTGAGTGTCTAAAAGTTATATACTTCAAACTTGTGGTTTATAAGCAAGTCTGTGTGTATATATATATATATATATATATATATATATATATATATATATATATATATATATATATATATATATATATATATATATATATATATATATGTCGTACCTAATAGCCAGAACGCACTTCTCAGCCTACTATGCAAGGCCCGATTTGCCTAATAAGCCAAGTTTTCATGAATTGTTTTTCGACTACCTACCTACCTAACCTAACCTAACCTAACTTTTTCGGCTACCTAACCTAGGTTAGGTAGCCGAAGGTTAGGTAGGGTTGGTTAGTTTCCTACCTAACCTAGGTTAGGTAGGGTTGGTTAGTTTCGGTCATATATCTACGTTAATTTTAATGCCAATAAAAAAAATTGAACTCATACAAAATAAAATGGGTAGCTTTATCATTTCATAAGAAAAAAATTACAGAAGATATATTAATTCAGGAAAACTTGGCTTATTAGGCAAATCGGGCCTTGCATAGTAGGCTGAGAAGTGCATTCTGGCTACTAGGTACGACATATATATATATATATATATATATATATATATATATATGTCGTACCTAGTAGCCAGAACTCACTTTTTGGCCTACTATTCAAGGCCCGATTTGCCTAATAAGCCAAGTTTTCCTGAAATAATATATTTTTTCTAATTTTTTTCTTATGAAATGATAAAGCTTCCCATTTCATTATGCATGAGGTCAATTTTTTTTTATTGGAGTTAAAATTAACGTAGATATATGACCGAACCTAACCAACCCTACCTAACCTAACCTAACCTATCTTTATAGGTTAGGTTTGGTTAGATAGCCGAAAAAGTTAGGTTAGGTTAGGTTAGGTAGGTTAGGTAGTCGAAAAACAATTAATTCATGAAAACTTGGCTTATTAGGCAAATCGGGCATTGCATAGTAGGCTGAGAAGTGCGTTCTGGCTACTAGGTACGACATATATATATATATATATATATATATATATATATATATATATATATAATAATGTGTTATGTGAATTAATTAATTATGAAAAGAACATAACAATCACGGAAGGATTTCGTATGCAAGTAATGCTCAATATTGTACTACATCAACTTTCAGCCTTACAGGCCTCGTTTGGTAGTTTTAATTTGCTTAGTTTTGCCAGAATTCATTTTACACATCAACATTGGTGCAGAACCCATTATACTCTGTTGTGTTAGAAATAGATGAAATGATAATATAATTGAACTATATTTCCATTTCCAGATGTTGGAGATGATGCTACAACACAGGATACCTCAGGGAGAACATCTTCACCTACTCCTAGCAATCAAGGTACACACCTGTGTGTAATTACCTAAGTGTAGTTACAGGATGAGAGCTACGCTCGTGGTGTCCCGTCTTCCCAGCACTCTTTGTCATATAATGCTTTGAAACTATTGATGGTCTTGGCCTCCACCACCTTCTCACCTGTGTGTGTGTGTGTGTCCATTGGTTCCCATTTCCCAGCACGAAATGGTCTCCTAATTCCAGCAATTAGTCATGTTGGACAATTTCATAATTCAACAACTTGATAAGTGACTGCATTAACAATCTCGCCTTTCGCTATGAAAATTCAGTAAGCCGAAGAAACTTTTTGTTTCAACTATGATACTGTATATCTGTATTACTGTATACCATAATTGCAGAGCACTTACCCAGATGAGGCTTTTCCAGAGTTCAGTAGTCACTGCCTGAATTACTGAAATATATTCCACTATAGGGAATTTTGTATACAGTGAATGAGGCAGCAGAATTTTTAACTAATAACATGATATCAGCTTGCCAGTGATTAAAACCGTAAACCGTATTCAACCCCCTTCCTCAAACACATGGTGAAGCAAGAGTGCAGTGATACTGCTTAAGACAAAAAAGTATCCATCAGAGAATAGGAAACTTGTCCAATGAATACAGTAATGTCGAATAAAACAAGAAGTTGTGCTCTTTATGACAACTTGTATATCAGGAAACCCACCCTCAGGCAGGTTGACTTTTAATATTAAAAACAAGATTGTGCTGGTGCAACTTTGCATTCTTCCATCTTGTGCAGAGTGCATACCTTCTGAAAAAGGTGCCTAAATCATCCATGAAAGATACTCCGTTTGAAGCATCTTATTTGGGGCATATCTGCAGCACAAACAACTAGCGATTTATATAGATGGTTCAAAAGCTGAAAATGTCATGGGCTGTGCAGCAATATTTCCTAGTTTTACAGAATTAGAATCACTTGTTAACACATGGATATCAGGATCTTGCCAGCCCATAAAAACTGCGTAAAGAAACATAGTATAGTAGTGTTAGTTTAAAACCAATAGAATATTTTGTGACTCCTCGTTCACTACTAAAGAAAACTGAAAAGTGATAATAACAAATATCTTAAAAGAAAACATTAAAATGTGTGCAGTGCCTCTGGACATGCTGGCACACAAGAAAACAAGCATGAACATGGAGCAGCTATATAGAGGTTCCTTGTCAAAGTACCCATTAGACTTCTCCCTTCAACACAATGACTGCACACTTGTAACCCATTTGTTCATTGCCAGTACGTACATGTAAAGTACAGGATAAATATACTGTATCAGAGAAAAGTTAACAATATAATTGTATGATAAAACTATTTAGAGCAATATGGGGATTTGAAGCAGTGTTCTAGTGACTCCCATATTGATAGGAGTCACTCAACCCATGGTAGGACAAAAGCTATTCAACCTTTCAACCTGGAACTCTACTGAGTCAATTTGTAGAGTCTGGAGGCCCCCAGCTGGTGCCACAACCAGGTTTTATGAATAGCTTACCTATACACCTGTGAGTACTGGTGTTCTCCACCATACACCCCTCCTTCAAACACAAAGAAATCACAATTGTGTGATATATAAATGAGAAAATACCCAGTAATTTCCAAATGATTTTCTTATTGTCATACTGTATCATGTCTTTGTGATTTTTGTTTCTGAAAGATTTTATGTTAAATGTTGTATGTTAAATGATGGAAGTGTTTACACTTTGTCACAATGATGTGAAGTATTTATGGCTCATTACAGACTTGGTTATACATGCATGACCATGGAGTGGAAATCTATCCATGGCACATGGATAGTGCCATGGATAGATGGTGGGTACATGACAGGATTGGCACCCACGTGCCAATCCTGTCATATACCCACCGCTGTTAAACATATTTTGTTGGAATGTTCTAACTATTCTACCAGTTGGAGACTACAGCTTGTGTTACATCCCTAATAACAATATATTAAACAACAAATTGTGCATTATCAGAAATAATGCTGATGTACATAATTTAAGTCTGTTCCACAATGTATGGAATGTTCCCTATAGCAGCCATATACAGTACTAATCCTTGGAATGAAATGCTGGGGAAAATCTAAAAATTTAAGCTATATTATTTATTGACTACTGTGTATTATGTAAAATGTTATTATATTTACTATTCATTTGCAAAATAATTTGCTCATTATCGGGAATACAGGTACAGTACCAATATTTATGTGAATTTCTTTAGTACTATATGAAATGATTTAGTTGATGTGAATGAATTGCACCTATATATTCTGAACAGTAATTATAAAACTGATGATGATATTTTATTTCAGGTTTGGTTGGACCATATCTCTTAAAAAAGGAAACTCATTGTTCAACAGTGTTGGATCAGCTTTTGAGAGATGATACATATACAGACGTAACACTCACTGCTGAGGGTCAGAGTTTAAGAGCTCACAGGGTTAGTTGTTTTTGTTTATGCATACAGTTTTGGCCTTGCATTTACATACAGTTATGCATATAATATATAACATAATATGCTTATGCATATTATGCATAAGCATAATATCATCCCTAATATCATCCCTAATATGCTTATGCATATTAGGGATGACATAAGTCACATGTTACAGCACTTAGACTCACTGCTTTTCAAAGTCAACTAGATATGAGAAGCAGAATTTCCTTGAAAAGCATGTTTCTTTCTGGGAGAATCCCCACAGTATCTCCCCAAGCAAGTTCATCTATACCTTAGAAAGACATACCAGGCCTCAGAGACTTGCCCTTGCCTACTCGGAGTCGGAATAAAAATTGACACACACTATATGGTGACAGAATCGTAGGAATTGGAAATCAACCCGGAACCAGGAAAAATAATAAAACAGAAGCATAACAAAACAAGCAATTGCTACAAGAAAATTAGGTATGCAAAGGATCTGGCCTTGGTTGGCTGCTTCTAAATGGTGGCATTACTTATCGTGTGCCACAGAGCTGAGCCCCCTGCAAACAGGTGCACAGTGGCAGTCATTCCACAGGTGCATTGCAACAACCACCAAGGATACGACAAATAAAGTGACCGCATGACACATGGACAAAACCGAGGCACCCATCTGAGGTGTTGAAAAGGAACGAGCGAACCAGGTGGGAAAATGCACACAGACATCCCTATTACGAGCCACAAAAAGAAGGAACCCAATACCCCAGGGATGAATCTCATCACAAGGTGAGAGCCACCATTCTCTCTTGCATGCAAGCCCAAAACTTTTCACTTTAAAAGGGCACCCATAGCCAGAGCAGGGGTTGTAAAAAATAAAATAATTGAAAGAAGCCCCTACAACTTCAAGGAGGAACCCACCAATCTACCCATTGAAATTTGAAAATGAAGGTAAGAGAGGGCACTGGCACTTCAAACAACTCTACCAGAGGGATTTGCAAACAGATTAAAACCAGAGGTGACGATGGCCACATATAAACCATAAGAGGCAAAAACCTCAGAAGAAATCTGGGAATGCGGCAGGCAATTTGGGCAGACACTGAATTTCATAAAAAAAGGTAACACAGCTAGCAGTGCAAGGATCACATACATCGCTAACACTGAAATTTGGCCAACTGCCTACTGGTGAATACAGGACTACAAATCCCTGTGATATACCCATGAATCCCCAACTATCTGGAGATGGAGGGTGTATGGAGCCACTGGAGAAGGAAATGATCACTTAATGCAACTTAAGCACGCTCAAAGCTAAAGGTATAAGGCACCAACATCCTCAAGAAACATGGTCAAGAACAACACACACACAGACCATCTTTGATCTGCACATGCTCTCCTCGCCCTTTTGAGAGAGCCAAACTCAGGTCTTGGCTCCCAGTAGGCTAACAAAGTCTCAGTTGCCTGCTAATGAAGGTGTGGCTCTGTGACCTCAGTGCTAGATCAGCACAGAAACTTTTATAACGTTACATGTATCACTTGGTGTCATTTTTATAATAACTTTTTAATATGCTGAATAAGATAGCACTTTGACTGGTTATTCTGTGCAGTGCATAATATTTTAATCTATTAATGTACTGTAACTTGCCTTCATGAAAAAATTAAGATTGATTTACATTCCAAATATTGTTTTCCTATATTGTTGACAGAGTAAGGTAGAACAATACTGCAATAATAAGTGGAATAATTTATATATCCATGTATATTTTCTTATAGGTTGTTTTGTGCTTAGCCAGTTCATATTTCCGCCAAGTTTTGAGCCGTGAATTGAATATTCAGAGTGTAGTTCTTCTACGTGATATTAAGTTTGCTGAACTGCGCAACATTATTCATTTCATTTACACGTAAGTATTTGTATACAAGGTAGTTCATATTAGGACTAAAAGTTCTTTACATGTTAATTTTTAGTGCCTTTTCACCACTTCATAGAATTTATTTGTCCTGTAGCTCAGTAATCAGTGTAATCTGTTCAGTCGGATTTGACTCACACACGGGCTGAGAGGTTAGGGTGTACTCGCCTAATTGTGCTTGCGGGGGTTGAGCTTTGGCTCTTTGGTCCCGCCTCTCAACTGTCAATCAACTGGTGTACAGATTCCTGAGCCTACTGGGCTCTATCATATCTACATTTGAAACTGTGTATGGAGTCAGCCTCCAGTCAGCCAGCCAGTGGTGTGTTTCCATATACCTGATGGTAAGCCATGTAGGTGATTAAAGCTAGTACTAAGGCATTGCAGCAAGTCATATATACTTCTCACATCATTTGATACATGCAATTTTCTTTCATTGCTTCACATTTCTTGACTAAATGTTTGTCCCAATCATAAATGAAACAGATGCTGAGTGTAATGAATAATACAGTAATTGCATTCTTAATGATGTGAAGAGCAGAGAAAGTGCGCTCATTGACAGGAAAGTTTAAAGAAAAGACCAGAACCTGACCCTCTAAAGAGGTTTAGGGGGCACGGAATTGTTTGTTACCCTCATCAAGAAAGCATCCAAAAAGTAAGCAAAACAAAATTGACAACTGCAAGGTTCACTCAGAGACAGGAAACAAAGGCAGCAAATAACTCTGCAAACGAACCACTCAGCACTTAGGTTGAACCTCCTAGTTCCAGCTAGCCACCATCAGAAGGCAGCACCAGAGCTCAGTTCCTATGTGAATAACATGCACCTTGAAGGGGAAAACCAGGGAGCCACCAAGGCCCAAACCAAGAGGCATTTCATTACATCCAATGCCAATTTTTCTGGTGGTGGCCAAACGGTGGTTCGGCCAGCCAGTACAGCAGAGGAATTATCAATGTTGGAAATTGTGTGCTTAGAGTAAAGAACTAGATTGCTTCTTATTCTTCTTGTAAGCTTTTATGGAAGCTTACAAAAATTGACATACTCACAAACTGAAGTGCTGCTTGAGTACAGTAATTAGTTTTGCATGTGGCTGCTGCCTTTTCTATTTTCCTCTAAATAATTAATGTTTTGACTACAGGGGTGAAGCTACTGTAGATGCATCTGAGCTCGAATCCTTCATGAGAACTGCTGAAATGCTGGAGATCTCATCACTCTGTGAAGGTCAGAAGTGCATCACTGGTCGTGGTCTTCAGACACAAGGCAACTTCAGCTCAGGGTTTAGCATTGGTGACTTTGAACGCCTTGTGGGAACAAAGAGATCAAGAAAAGACACATCACCCACTCCTAGTAAAACACGTAGAGTCTCAGGTAATTTTTATCTTGTATTTCACATGAAACACTGTTGGCAAATTAATATATAAACCATTGTACAGTACCTGATATAATTCAGCAGGAAGAGAAACTAACATTTGCGCCACATGGCATTTCTTCTTCTTCTTCTTCTTGATGGTACGTGCAGTTTGCATAAAAGGTTTTTCCTCCCGATGATTGCACGAGTACAAATGTTGGGAGACATTTTTATTTATAATAAAATACAGGAGCGGTCCATCTAATTACCCAACGCTACCCAAATTTACTCAAAGCTATTTAAAGCTTCCTACCATTACGTAAGTAATGAAGAAATATGATATATTTACCCACTATATTGTTGGTGTTGAATAAAGGATATGGAAAAGTATATTTTTATTCTGAAATAATGTAAATTTATAACAAAATTAGACGAAACTAAGTGGCATGAGAGGCCATAGGAAGTCGATGATCCAAGCGACAATGTTGTGGAGCGACTTATCCAAGATGAACACATTATTCAAGATGTATTGTTGCCTAGAGGTTATATTAAGTTATGTTTGGATAGATTAGGTTAGGTTAGGTTATGTTTGGGTAGGTTGGTTAGGTTAGGTAGATACAGGAGGCTCATATGCCAGCAAACATTGTCGCTTGGACCGTCGACTTGCTTTGGCATCACCAGCTTCTTATTTTCATCTAATTTTGTTATAAAAGGATACTTTTTCAGAGTAAAAGATATGTTTTTCATGTTCTACATTCAGCACCGACATTATAATGAATAAATATATCATATTTATTCATTACCAATGTAATGCTAGGTAGCTTTGTGTAAGCTTTGTGTAGCTTTGAGTAAGTTTGGGTAGCTTTGGGTAATTAGATGGACCCTACAGGAGTACTCCGAGATCCCAGAGAGAACATAAGAGATTGAGGAACACTATATGTGGAGGACACAGAGTTTGGCGACTGTTGGAAAATTATCAACTAACAGCTTTGGTGTTACGTTGTTGAAGTCAAGGGATTGCTTGTGACTTCAAGGAGGGTGTCATGGAGAGTGCCTTCTAGGTGAAGACCTGTACCTGAAATACTGGCTTCTGTGGCGGTGGTTGCTTCACCTTTCTGGCCAATGGTAATAGATTCCTGGGAACCATGCTGTTACTGCTAGCATGGGGTGGAAAGTCCTGTAGCAGAAGATATGAGGGAATGGATGCCTGTGGTGCATGATTGCAGAAAGGAAAGATTTAGGATTGGAACCATGTTCAGTGGTGTGAAACACTTGGGAGATTTGAGAGGTATGTAGTAGGAAAGCATAGGGGTGGAACAGTGGATGACTGACCGATTCCGTAAGTCGTGGGATGGAGTGATGAGAATCTGTCCCTTTGCTAACAAGCTGAGGGAAGTCACCCATCTGAAAAGCATTTCTTTCTCCCAGAAATGGGGAAAATTGCATTGCCTTGCATATTTGTTGAATTTTGTCCAAAAAACCATTCATAGGAAGTAGCCCCCCAAATAAATTCCACTGCTGATGGGCTTAGACCATAATTGCAGCATTTCTTTTTCACTGCAACCATTAGTGGTTGAGCATGAACCAATACTTTCACTTTCCCCATTTCCAGTGTGGGTTTAGTGTACATTTATTCCAGTCACATTATTGAGAGTTTTACTAATAAGAACCAAAATCAGGATTTTACACTCTTCTCATTTATGAGTTCTTAGCTCTCCTTCACTGAGGAGCTATTTTTATTAATATATACCTCAATTTGCATCTTACTAACGATGAAAAAAAATTGTTCCCTTGTAGTTTAAATTTTGTTCATCTGCCCACAGGATTGAATATAGATTTTCTAATAAACTAGTTAGGCAATCTTCATTGCCTAACCTCCTCAATCTTTATTTTACCTTTCAGCAAAATAACTATTTATATTATTTAACCAAAGAGTGCACAGCTACTTTTATCATGCACTTGTACTTATTTTCTTGCTGTACAGTATGAAAAATGTTTTAATAATACTGTAATAATAATAATAATAATAATAATAATAATAATATTAGCTTTGAGTCACCTCAGAGCTCAGTTGATTTTCTCATTGATATATATCATGTTAGTGTGATTTCTGTGTACATAAATAATAATAATAATATTAATAATAATAATAATAATACTGTAATAATAATAGAAGTCGTATTAAAGTTTGTTTTATATATGTCGGCAAATGATAAGTCCTGACAATTCACAATGATTTTAATAATTTTTAGAACTTTATTTGTTAATTAGTTTTATTAGTGTAATTTGTTGAATAAAATTTCCATTCCATGAATAAGTGCCTCAAAGTGGGCGGTCTGACCTCAGTGCCTCAAATGAGTGCCTCAAAGGGGGGCCTGACGGCTGAGTGAACAGCGCTCGGTGTTCATAGTCCTAAGGGTCCAGGCTCGATCCCCGGCGGAGGCGGTAACAAATGGGCAGAGTTTCTTTCACCCTGATACCCCTGTTCTTCTAGCAGTAAATAGGTACCTGGGAGTTAGACTGCTGCTAAAACACCAGGTACCCTGGGTGTGAGGCTGTTTCCTGGGGATGTGTGTATGTGTGTGTGTGTGTGAAAATTAGGATTAATGACTTGCCTGAAATGCAATGCATGCTAGAGGCTGAACAAGAATGTAAGAACTCTTGTATATATAAATAAATAATGAAATAAATACATAATAAAATATACAAAATCAATAAAAATCTATGATCTCTACCTTGTAGGTGAAGATGCATCATCAAGATGCTCATCAGCTGAACCAGTGGCTACGAACAACCCTCTGTCACTTATAAAGGAGGAGCCTGGGTGTGAGACTGCCACCTCATTTCTATCCAAACCTCCGAAAGTGGTCAAAGAGGAAGAATTAATAGATACTGAAGAAACAAACGAAGGGGCAGGTGGCAGTGGACGAACAAGAAGAGAATCCTCTGGGTCAGTAGGAGGATTTGCAGCCATAGCTGGTGTTCAAAAGATGTCATCTGATTCAGATGATATCTGTCAAGATGTTTTCCCTTCTGTTTCTGAATCATCATCAAATTTGCAATTGGAAGAATCTGTAAGAGAGAATCCCGTTGCTGGTGTTCCTGACACAATAGCTGTCCCTGGAAGGTAGGAATGTTGATGCATCTGTGAATCATGTTTTTGCCTAATGACTGCCCAAGACAATTTCAGTGAGTGGTCAGTATAAGTATCACTTCAATAGCAAATGGTTAAATTAATTAATGCTTGATTTTGTTTGATCAAAATAAAGCACAGTATGAACAAGGCACATCTGTATTATAACTGAATGTGTTTTGACATGAAGAGGTAATAAAGTTGTTTTGCATAGTGTTTTATGGAGGTATGATCATCAGAGTGTGTTATAAGGTGCTAATTTTTAGCCCCCAAGCAGGACTCTGCACATCTTCAGTACATTCTTGATGTCAGAAGTGAACTGCATCATTCCCTGTCCAACCTTGTGCATGACCAGCATTACTCAGGTTAGCCTGATATTGCAGGCGGATTCTTGGATGGTGTCCTTGGACATCAAGGACACATACTGGAATGTCCCAATTCATCTGAGTTTCAGGGAATGGTTAGGTTTCATTGTGGGGCACCAGGCTTACTACAGTACAGTACTTCAAGGATCTACTCTTTCGCTTGTATCTGTCTCCTCAAATTTTTACCAGGTTAGTGTGGGTAGTGGTGACCTAGTTATATCTTTTAGGGGCTTGTATGTTGGACTATTTCAAAGGCTGACTGATTTGGGCCCCTAGCCAGTCATCATGTCAACTGGCCAGGGATCTGGTTCTGTCCCAACTCACCAGGTTCGGCTTCCTGCTGAACTGGCAGAAGTCCCAGCTGGTTCCATCCTGGGTTTGGACCTTGCTGGGTGTCATTTGGGACCCACAGTCAGCATCTGTCTCTGTCTCTTGCAGCACTGGCAGGTGGCCAGAGCCGTCTGGTGTTGGATCGGTCCCAGCGACTTGTCAGTATATCGAGCGGTTGTGCAAGGGCCTGAACTTTGCTTATGTGGCATTTTCCCAGGACAGGGTTTGGCTTTAGGGATTAAAGAATTGTTTGCAGTCATTTGGCCATTTCCATGCTTCATAGCCTCCCCAGCTTGGTGTCTTCTTTTGATAATTACTAGTACTTACTTCCATGCTTCATTTTCTATGAGCTTGTAAAGCTTTGCTGAGTTTCTGGATCCTTTATCAGTCCAGAGTCTGGCTATTTCCAGTAAGGCAAACAGAACTCATGCAACTGATATGACCCAGTAGTGGGGAGCCCCACAAGGGGCTCCTCCAAGATTAGAATGTTGAATTTATAAAACACTTCTTTTTGATCAGCCCCTCAGTCATCCAAGCCATGGCTTGGATCTTTCAACAGTTACTAATTTGTAAATTTTAAAGTGAATGTGAATACTGTACTAGTAAAGTTATGGTGGTAAAGACAGAAGTAAAGTATTGTAAATGTTTTTTGCAAAATTATTGTGAATGAAGAAAAAAATGTTTGATCATCTTAATACCTGGGACGTGTTAATGTCAAGAGGAATTTGTGCTAGAAAGTTTGATATTAAAGTTTGGGAAAGAAGGTGGCTGGTGGAGTGATAGTCCTGGTTAAAAGAACTTGATAGGAAAATGCTGCCTGAATATTGCATCAAGGCGTGGTGGTGTTTACCCTTATTTATGAATGTGAGGTGAGAGTGGGGCATGGATGTGAAAAGTATAACATTTAGATGCGTAGATATTTAAGAACTGCAAAGCAAGAGGGATGTAGGGTGAATTGATGACGTTCAAAAATTAGTCTTACAAATTTGAAAGTACAGTGCAGTACAATAGTCACAATGCTGCAATATTGAAGAGAGTGTACCAAGAGGATTTGTTCATGTTGAACAAATGGGGTAATGATTAGGTGGTGATAAAGGTGTAATGGAGTGAATTTAAAGATAGGAAGAGAAGAAATTTGAGAAGGACAGACATGGTGAGTGGACGAGTAAGGAAGCACGGATTGCGTGCGTTGAAGAATTTACATGATGTGGCAGAGAACAAGACAAGGAGGCATCAGTATTTGAGGAAAACAGTTTTGTTTGTGTATGACAGTTCATGAAGAGCCCTGTACATCTAGTACGTATTAGGAAGTGGTGAAGTGCTGTTATACGCAATTTGCTGACGTATGGTGCTGTTGGTGCTGTGATTCTATATAATGTACAGTATATGATATAGTGAAAAATTTTTAATTGTATTTTCTGATTTTTTCATACTTCTTCCATTGTATCTCTGGGTTGATACCTCCATCCCCCATGAAATTTGGGAATAGGGTAATTGTGATTAATATTATTTCATTCATATTCCTCTTTATAGATTTACCAAGTACATATTGTTGCAATAGAGATGTAATGAAATTTATTGCTTTCAGATGTCCGTATTGTCCTCACTTAACCCAAAAGTACGAAGGTGTTGCTATGATGCGTCATCTTCTAGTAACGCATCCATGCAAGCCAGCGTTTCCGTGCGACTCTTGTTGGTGTGTGTTTGTGAAGAGAGCAAACTTTAAGGCTCATCATCAGAAATGCCAACCACCTCTTTGTTAGGTTTATTGGTTTAGAAAGTCAAAATGATTTCAATGAGCTTGTATTTAATATTTCATTTTTTCTTTTGATGAACCTTTGTAAGGTCTGGAGTATAATTCATGAGTTGTAGAAAAAAATAATTGAAAAATAAAAATACTGTATTGATTTACTCATAGCATGCCTGATAGTGGCATTCCTGAATTTAATTTACTCATTTAAAATTAGAAATATTATACAGAAGTCTTAAAAAGTTCATCAAAGACCCTTTAACATGGGCATATTTTGTTGTGCCATCAAGGAGAATGACTGGTTATTTTCTTGAGCCATTTATTGTATCTGTGCTTATCTGTTGTAGTTATTTTCACACAATTTTGGATGGTAAATCAGGATAATAATATGAATAACAAATTGCAAGATTTTATAACATAAGAAACAAATGAAAGTGTAAACACAGTATTATTAAGATTTTAATAAAGATAAATTGCTGTTAACAGTATAAACAAGTCATATTTGTATTTTGTGGTGCACATCTGTATTTCCTTATAGCTCTTTCTGCTATTTGCTGTAGGGACTTCAAATTGTTAGTTGTAAGTCAGAATAACTGTTTTGTGGGTGTTGCAGTAAATCAGAATTTAATGTTTTTTATTTTTTTCTAATACATGTTACAACCATGAATATAAGACAGTATTCACTGTACTGTGCTTGCTTACTTCGAAATAAATTATTATTTATATGATCAAAATTCAATTTATTGCATTGTATCTGCCATTAAAAGATTGCACCATTCCTGTCATCAACCAGATGAATTATTTGCAGCATTCTGTGGTAGACATTTAATACATAACTTAAATGGTTTATACTGTCCGTCATATTGCCATTTACATGATGTTCTCCCCCATATTAATTAGTATATTTAGGCCCTTGCATGAGGATATTCTTGTTATCATTTATAGATTGATAAAAAGTTTATATGAAATATTCTATAATTACGTGTCATCGAAAGAGTTTATATATGTTTCAGTTACATTACTTTTCAGGTTACATTTGTGGGGACAACTTTAAAGTACAGTACAGTACAGTACGTAAGGCTGTGAAAGAGATCGTGATGAAGTGTGTGAATAGTGTGACCGAGGTGTGTTTTCACAAATTAGTGTCAGCAAATAATACAGAATTAGAGAAAGTATGAGTGTCTATAAAAAAATGTATCTTTTCTGTAGTGTGATATTACAATACAGTATTGCATTATTCAGAAGTTTTGTTTGTTAATTTACTCAGATATCTTAGTTCTGGGGTATATAAAAAAAAATTAGTTTAAAAATTGGTTCAGCTTATTGGCAATCAGTTATGCGGCTTCTGATCAGATGTAAGTTAATATTACATACTAATAATGAAGACTAAACTACACACCAAAAGACAAGGAAATGATGTTTTGGTCCGTCCTGGACCATTATCAAGTCGATTGTGATAATCGACTTGATAATGGTCCACAACAGACTGAAACGTCGTCGTCTCCTCGTCTTCTGGTGTGTGGTTTAGTCTTCATATCTTCAGCCACGTTATTGTGACTAATCATCTGCATACTGATAATTTTAGTGGACCACATCTGTTTTGGTCAGGTCCATAATTATATAAAAATGGACTGAACTCCTTTGCATATACAGTATGTCTAAATACAAACAGTGCCATATTTCCTTACACAAGGTCCCAGATTACAAAACAATGGTTATGGTAGAGGTAGAAATCACAGTTTGTTTACATGAATGTTAAATACAGAAAATGGGAAAACTTGTTGTAATGATACAACTCGTCAAGAGTACTAACCACACACTAATATTTGTTTGTCAAAATTTATGTATCAAAAATTATTTTATAATGATTAATTGATTCCAGTACAGTACAGAGTATCATATAGACATTGAACACAAAGCATATTAAAAACCTTTCATGGTTACCTTGAGGTGGTCATAATATTGGTCATTATATTAGCTCTTAAAGTTGCATGCTGCTTAAAGGATTAATGTATATTTAGGATACAGTCAAACTTTGATGCAAAGTATGAGTAATGCCTGTCAAATATTCTTGATACTTTCAAGCTTTGTGAAACTGAACATGTATATGCTTAGTGATAACTTCAAAATGAAAATAATGCAGCTTACACATATTTAAGGTATATTTAATACAGCATGGCCTGGCATTGTTTGCCACCCTACCTCAGGCTCTCCAAGTTTTTCACATGTGGCCACCTATGTAATTTTGTCCCTAATTAAAATAATATTCTGCCTAACTTATTGGTTTCAGATAACACATCAAGTTACTGGAAATGAGAATACCGTGTACTGGTAAGCTGGTTAATAATTTTTATTTGAGCTTATACTGTATAGCCTACTGGAGACCAGAGCTAGAACCTGGCCCAATCACAGTGACACAAGGAGCAGGGAACTACTATATTATTCCCTACCCTCACTGGGAAAGCATCCAGAAAGTCAGCAAAGCTTAACAGACAATTACAGTACAAGGTTCATAGGAAACAAAGCATCAAAACAGCTAAATAACTTCACAAATGATTGAATCCAAACAATTGGTTCACTCAAAACTACTTCAATCCTGTTAGTATGTATCCTTGAGGCACACCAACCATGAATCTGTAATACTAGGCAAACCTGAGCCAATGTGGTCATGCAGAAGGTTGGACAGGTAATGAAGCTGTTCTCACCCGAAAGCTTAGAGGATGTACCATATAATAATTAATAATAATACATTGTGTCGGGGGAAAGGCAGCCATACACGTTAGGCTTATATTGAGGAAAACCCCACCCCCACCAAGGTTGAATTATGGACCTTACCCCACAACAAGCTGACTAACTCCTGATTACCTACTTACTGCTAGGTGAACAAGGCATTAGGTGTTAGGAAATGCACCCAACCATTTCTGTCTCGCCCGAGACTCGAACTCGGAATTCTTGATTGAGAGTCAAGAACGAACCCGACTGTTACTGGGCCCCTTTCATATGTCAGCCGAGGGAAAACAAAAAGCTAATCAGGTCGCATTGACTACTCAGCTGAATTGAGAAATTTGACTCGCCAGCCCTTAACCCAGGTTGGAGGGGGAGAAGGGACGGACAGACCAATTCCTCTGCAGGCCGAAAGAGATGTCCCGAAATGGCCTCAAATCGTGGAACCAGGAGCTGGCAAAACATGTTCGATGCCACACCCCTCCTTCCCATAGCACTGCAAAAGGGACAAAGTACATTAGGGCCAGTGTGAAGAATTATGCGTGACGAAATCCTTCTGCAATGCAGAATGGTAACGACGAGTTGAAGAGGCAACTGCTGATGGGAGCACAAGGGCCCGAGAATCTGACTAAAGTCAGAGTAAACCCTCCACCGAGGGTTTACTCTGACCAACTGCAGGTGAGATCTCAACCCTACCACAAAACCTCTGAGAAGAGGCTACAGAAATCTAATGGAATAACATTTGACTAATGGAGTTAGTTTAATTCATTTATTATGCACCCTATACCCATCCTGTGCGCGGTAGTGGAAAGTGTTACAAAGGCACATAATGGGCTTAGGGAATGAGCCCCACAATTCATTTAGCTACATAAATTACAATCTTGATGAGCTAGTTACAAAATTCAATGCACATCATCACATCAACAATGATCTCGAGACCGACCACAAGTACCTTACCTTGAGGTTACCTTGAGGTGCTTCCGGGGCTTAGCGTCCCCGCGGCCCGGTCGTCGACCAGGCCTCCTGGTTGCCGGACTGATCAACCAGGCTGTTGGACGCGGCTGCTCGCAGCCTGACGTATGAGTCACAGCCTGGTTGATCAGGTATCCTTTGGAGGTGCTTATCCAGTTCTCTCTTGAACACTGTGAGGGGTCGGCCAGTTATGCCCCTTATGTGTAGTGGACATAACAGTTACTAATTTAAGCAACTGACACACATGGAGGGCTAGTGTCACATTTTATATGTTTATCCTGCATACCGCCCCCCCCATCCAAATGGCAGCTGTGGATAGGTTACAATCACTTTGTTACTACCTACAGTTTGCAAACTGGGGATATTTGGCCAAGGCTTCTGACAGCAGATCATTTTGAATCAAATATTTACACATCTGTTGAACATTTGTTATAGAATTGTCGCTGAATTCATGTAACTTTTTGCACTCCATCACATAGTGACAGAGGTTGTGTGAATAATTTTGTTGACACAGTTTATATTTGGTCAGGTCTACATCAGCAGATACTGAGAATTCCCAAAGATACCCCTGTACTTGTAAGCGAGTCTAACCCGAGCAGTAGTAACACATATAAGTCTGCTAATTTTATTGGATAATCCATATATGTGTGGCTCCTCTTGCATGATAGTATGATGAGAGATGGAATTACTGGTGTCGATTTCACTTTTCCTCAGATCTACAAAATTTTGTTGAAGTTCTTGGTGTACTATTGCTTCTATTATACCGAGCAGAAGGAAGAGTGATAATTATTAAATACAACAATTATTATTATAATAATAATATAAATTAATTAATAATTATCACTCTTCCTTCTGCTTGGATTGAAGGAAGCCGGCCTCGGGTGAAAGGGGCCTGTGACGATCTCTGTCAGGAACCGATAGGTGCGGGACTGGGACGTCCACCTCCTGGGGCTCGTGTGGCCCTGGCTTAGCTTCAGGAGGCTGGAGTCGTTCTTGCCCTTGATGGGGTGATTCTTCTCCGGCCCCGACCACGGCGGTCTCCGGGTTTGGAGAGACTGAGTCTTTCACCAACTTCGAGGTCAACTCTGGAGCTCTCAGTTCCTGCGACGGCGCTGGAACCAATCTTATTGGAGTTTACCTTTCCATTGGAGACCTTCGGCGCTGTGGAGAGGGGGGGGGGACCTGCTGCATGGGTAACAGCTTTTTCTTTGTATCAGCCTACTCTGGCTTTGCGTCCTGGAGAGGTCACTTCAGACCGACAACCAGAGCGGTCCGTCTAATTACCACAAGCTACACAAGCTTCAGAAAGCTTCCTGGCAATACATTAGTAATGAATAAATATGATATATTTACTCATTATAATGTTGGTGCTGAATGTACAACACGAAAAAACATAATTTTAATCTGAAAAAGTATCTTTTTATAAAGAAATTAGGCGAAAATAAAAAGCTGGTGACGCCAAATCAAGTCGACGATCCAAGCGTCGGTTAGGTTAGGTTAGGTTTGGTTTGGTTAAGTTAGGTTAGGTTAGGTTAGGTTAGGTTAGGTTAGGTTAGGATAGGTTAGGTTAGGTTAAGTTAGGTTAGGTTAGGTCAGCCTAACCTAACATATCATATTTATTCATTACTAACGTATTGCCAGGAAGCTTTCTGAAGCTTGTGTAGCTTGTGGTAGCTTGTGGTAATTAGACGGACCCAACCAGAGTGCAACTCCATAGTCTCCTGAGACTGATGGATGCCTACTACTTCTGCTCTCAGACTGCTTATTGACAATCCAAGGTTATATTCAATTTCTCAATTAAAGGCAGATTCTTTGGCTAACTTATCAGCTCTATCATGCATTCGGAGGCCAACATGAGAGGGAATCCACATGAAATGGAGTCTGTTACCATCAGTAATAATTTTGTTGTACCTGTATTTGGTCTAGTTTCATACACGAGAATGTTACAGCTATGTCTTAAAGAGTTGAGAGCAATTAAGGATGATAAACAGTCATTCACAATTAATGTATCAAGTTTGGAGACTTGTACACATTTCAGTGCAAGAAGTAAGGCAAATACACACACAAATCACAATAGCGTGATTTGTTTGAAATTAATAAGCATTTTTATACCAATATGACTGTTAATTTCAGTAACATGATCAACGACGCTCGGAATAGTAGGGTCCTTCCTCATGTTAAGTAGCTTTGTGGTACGAGGGCACATGGGGATTATCCTCAAGGCTTCGTTCTGCAATTTGTCAAGCCCTCCAAGCTTTCTTTCAGGCATCAAGGCAAGCAGAGGTGCAGCATAATCCGGCAACAGGTTGCAGCAGCAGCTGAGAGAACTTAAGTAACAATGTTCTCAGGAAAAATGAAAAAAGGGGGGTTGGGGGGCAAAGAAAAGGGTTAAGGATAAGGCCAAATTTAAAGCCTCAGCCAGTATAGACTGTCGACACTAGAGACGAACCAACGCCTTAACTACAGGCAGCAAGGCCTCCACATCCAGGACTGACGCAAGCAAATCCACACCTTATGTTGTTTACTCCACAAATGGTCAGAAGACTGGCTTTATAATATTGACAAATGCAAGAGCATGCATGTGGGGCATAACAACCCATGCCACAACTACAAAATTAATAACATTACATTACAACAGATTGATGAAGAAAATGGCTTTAGAGTTAAAATCCACCACTCAATAAAAGTAGCACAGCCGGTAGGTGCAGCAGTCAGAAAAGATAGCCAAACACTTGGAATAATGAAGCGTACCTACCTCTAACTTTAAGGAAAATAAGGCAGTGAGTCAATTGTATAAATCTCTGTTGTGCCTCCATTTGGATTACTGTATCCAAGCATGGAGACCTCATCTTCAAAAGGACATAGGTGCTCTGGAGAAAGTGCAACACCGGGCAACACAAAAAAATAATTTCAGAGCTAAGTCAACTCGAGTATCAGGAACGATTGAGGGCCACAGGGCTAATAACACTGCAAACCAGGCATGACAGGGCGGATTTTTTTTAAATTTATATAAACAAGAGTTCTTACATTAATGTACAGCCACTCCTTGTCACACTTGCCACTTAAGGGCAAATCTTAATTTTTATTTCCTCCGGAATACGACCCACCAAACCGTTTAACAACTATATAGGTACCCTTTCACGGCTGGGTGAACAGGAGCTACAGTTAAGGACTGACGCCAGTAAATCCTCTCCGGCCAGAATACGAACCCAGGCCAAAGTACTCGCGAAACGCCAAGAGAGTGTGTTACCACTTCGACACAGGGACTGGAAGGTTCCGAAATTTTGTTGATCTTATTGAAACTTTTAAAATACTCAACAATTTGGAGGATGTTGATCCCGAAAATTTCTTCAAAAGGTCAGATGTAACACAAACAAAGTGCAACGGTTTTAAGCTCAACAAGCCACAATGTAGGACTAAGAACCGGAGATGCTTTTTCACCCACAGAGTTATAAACCCATGGAACCGCCCACCCGCCGAAGCTGTAAATGCCAAAACTCTGTCAAATTATAAAGTACAACTGGAAAAGTTTATCGTATTCAGTAAATGAATACGAATAACCCAGAGTTTGACTCATAGA